TTTCATGATTGCTGTGTTTTGCATGCTAGATCTTCTACTTTTTTATGTGTTCTTTGAAAGTGTTTTAATCCCTATGTTTATTATTATAGGGGTATGGGGTTCTAGACAGAGAAAAATACGAGCAGCATATCAGTTTTTCTTATATTATGTGACTCTGTCCGTTCTTCCAATACAAGGAACTTTTCTTTCAAGGACGAGTTCCGAAATATTAAAACCGCTATACTACCGTCTAAACCCGAATAGAACGGCCCGTCATTATAGCTGTATTTGGGACAACTTCCGGTCCTGATTCATCGATAATGTCCGGGCGTTCTATTCGGGTGAAGACGGTAGTATGTTTGCTCCAAACGAAATTTTTTCTTCATGATAACCATTCCGTGATTTTGTCCAGAAATTCACCAGTTGTCTTTTTCTGTCTTCCTCATTCCCTGCTTTGTAGTACCGTAGCAACATAAAGTCATCGACATACCTTTTCCGAGTCCGACTTTTTCATCCTTCCTTGGGAGATTCCAAAAGAAAAAAGTTTGTGCATACATGCAGGCAAAGCATTCTAATGGTGGGCTTGCCTGTTCCCCTATAGGGATGTCTTTCTTTGTCTCAAAAAAATCACCAGCAGCTTCAAGTTTAAAGTTAAACACAATGTCTTTAGAGTACGAAGGAAGTTCACGAGTTTTGTATCCAATTCATTTGTCTAACGGACTTCAATCGCCGTTCTCCAACGGGTTTGTTGATAAAAAATAGCGCTCTTGAATTTCGTTTTCACTCTCACCCAATAGTGTCCAGATGCTTTGAATTCCCCCATAATCCAGCTTCCTCGTGAGGAATCTGGGAGAACATCTCTTTAATGTCGTATGTTCTGGTTGTGATTGCAAAACCTTTTTCTTATGGCTTTCTCCAACTTGCAGTTGATGATTGATTCAAGGGATGAGATGATGCAACAGCAGTTGATGATTGATTCAAGGGATGAGATGATGCAAAGGCAGTTAAAGGCATCAACTTGAAGGGGATGATCCCCAATGCATGGATGACACCTTCAACTGCCTTGGTATTATCACAATGTAGAGGGTTTAGTTCTAAGCGTTCCTGTCACATGTGGACAACAAGGACGATATGGACATAAAGAATGTGCCGAAGAAAGAGAAGCTAGAGAAGAACCAAGTTCGGGGAGAGGAGGAGGAAGTAGGAGGAGGGGTAGGAGGGGATAAAGTGTCAACAAGGAGGAGATGGACATAAAGAACGTGCGACGAAAAAGAAGCAACTGAAGAAACAAGTTCAGGAGGAAGTAGGAGTGGAAAAAGGACAACACGGAGGACATTAACAACAAGAAGTTTGGACAAAGAGAAGGAAAAAAACAAGTTCAAGAAGAGGATCAGGAGGTACGAGGAGGGTGAGGAGGAGGGGAACATGAAGGAGGAGGGGAAGGAGGGGAAGGAGGGGAAGGAGGGGAAGGAGAGGGGAAGGAGAGGGGAAGGAGGAGGGGAGGTAGGGGAACGAAAGAGAGGAGGCGGCGGCAGACGACAGGGAGGAGAAGGAAAGTAGGAGTGGAAAAAGGACAACAAGGAGGAGATTAAGAAGAAATTTAGACAAAGAGAAGGAAGAGATCAAACAAAGTTCAAGAAGCCGAGCAGCAGGTACGAGGAGGAGAGTCGAGGAGGAGGGGAACAAGGAGGACGGGGGGAAGGAGGGGAAGGAGGAGGA